AACACAACCTGAACACGTTAACTGCAACACAACCTGAACACGTTTACTGCAACACAACCTGAACACGTTTACCATAACACAACCTGAACACGTTAACTGCAACACAAGTCTCTGAGTTTTGACATACTTACATTGTCAGTTTGTCGCCACATTTAATTGTTCCTGTCTGAGGATCAGTTTCTGATTAAAACACAACCTGCAGTGTTGTCAAGCTTACTTGTGTTAAGAAACAAGCCTAATTATTCACAGTATTTTAATAATTAATAATATGAGACAGAACACTCTTACACTGCTATTTTTACACTTATCAAGTCATCAGTTCTGACTGCTGAAAACTTGTTGGGGGGGTCAATTTTTTCACAAGTTGTAGAGTTTGTTTAAAACTTGTGCAACAAATGTTTCATTCAAAGACGTAAAAAAACATGATTTCAATATTAATATCTTTATAAAACATATTGAAAACAACTGAAGCTGACCAAACTTTACCATTCAGTCGACGTGTGTCATTAAAAACAAATGGTACCACTTTACAATAAGGCTTCCCTTATAGATGGCTTATGAATAGTTTATAGAGATTATTAATTCATCTGTAAACACTTTATAAATCATTAATAAGTGTTTATTATGCCTTAATTAAGAATAAGAAAGAGACAAAACTGTCTGGTTTCTTGCTGAATAGTGAGCCAAATCTGTTGATGTATGTTATGGAATAATTATGTATATCTGTTCTACCTTGACACTGTCCAGTAATCATATCTCATGATAACTAGTTTCGGCTCTTTTAATCCATCGGCCCAGACTTCAAGACTCCAGCAATGCATGACCTCTTTTATTTTGATAAGGTGTTTCCGGGCTGACAGCTCTGTCATTGGTTAGATGGTTCATAGTTGGCGAACTGTGATTGGTTGTAAGCATGTCTGATGATGTTATATTATCAGCTGCTCTGCGCTGATGAGCCAGCCACAACTTGATTGACTTCTGTGATTGACTTCTGCTCTGTTGTTGCTCAAATTAAATCATTTGACGACCATACACGCAGACTTTCTGTGCATTTATCCCGTGTTTCTGCATTCTTAGTAAATCGTGCCACCACAATGTACATATTATAAAGTGTTATACTAAACATTTCACACTAGATTAACTTGTAAATACAATAATGTATTGGAAACACATATTTACAGTAGGTACACTATTTATTAATGATTAATAAATGCGTATAAATATCATAATGGAGCCTTATAAATAGTATACAGTCCAAGGCTACCTTTGATCGTAGTGGATATGTATAATGTAGTGCAAATATTATATGTAAAATATGTGTTTCCAATACATTATTGTGTTTACAAGATAGTAACCTAGTCTGAAATATTTAATATTCCACTTTGGATGTAATATGTACATAAACAGATTTGGCTCACTATTTGACCAAAAACCAGACAGTTTTGTCTTTCTCGTCCTTAATTAATGCATAATAAACACTTAATAATGATGTATAACGTGTTTACAGATGAATCAATAACCTATCTATAAAGTATTTATAAGCCATCTATAAGGGGAGCCTTATTGTGAAGTGGTACCAAACAAACAATAAAACCAAAAACCCTCAGCTCTAACTGTGTTTTAAACTCTGACTAAATCAAAAGCAAAAATAGACAGTCCTGAGCAAAGATGTAAAAGCCACAATGGTTTCAGCAGACCAAATATTAAATGGTCAACTGTTCCCCAGTTCTGGATTTCAGTTTGGATCTAGGATCATCTAAAAGAAACTGGTTGGAGTGGAGTGCTCTGACTGGAGTGTAGATCGCAAGGAGATCATAAACATGACGAGGCCAGACCATTAGAAACCTTAAACTGTCTGTGACATGTAATTTTGTCATAAACATGAATGCATGTTTGGAAAGACAACATTGGTAACATGTTGCCAAACAAATTTCACATTGCTGAGATGAACGGTTGTTGAGATATTTACATGTGAAGAAACAGGAAGTGATCAAAGGGGAACGTCAGCATGTAAACAGAAGGTTGTTACAAAAGCTAACAACACAGAAGAATCTGATGTTTCTTTAGATTATTTTTAGTCGCCATCAAAGAGAGAAAAATAAGAGTTAAAGCTTAAATAATTTTGTTTTTTTAACAGAGACCAGAGAGTTTATTTTATTAATGAGTTCCCCTTTGATGTCACTTCCTGTTTCACTTTGGCTGAGCTATATTTAAAAGAGAATAGGCCAGTTATGTGACAAAACGGGTAAAATCATGTGCACTATGCCAATTTTCTTAAGTATAAAGATGCTTTCTTTGACTTTTTGTATTTGAAGCACGTCACAGACACTTTAAAAAGCAGCAGTCAAATCTTAAATGGACTTCTTAAAAATATATATTGCCCAAGGATACAACAACCGAGACAGTTGGAATGGGGGGTCAAACCGGCACCCCTTACAGGGCAACTCTCCCTAATCACTCTGCCACAGCCATGCAAAGATCACACTTCAGATCAAATCACAGGTGAACAGTACGGCCAGGCTCTATAGGACCATGACAAATAATGGGAAGCAATGCATGAGATGGCTCAAAACAAGATTTATTTAACAAAATTCATGGTTTGCTAGAGAAGAGAGAGCAAGGAGGAGAAGCCTCACACCAAGAGCAAGCACTGGACCTTAAACTGGATCTGATGCTCTTCTGGAGACACTGGCTGTGTTTCCATTGACCATGAAAATGTGCAAATTAGAATTTCGAAAATAAATTTGCTCAATGGAAACACG